AAGAGACAGTATATATAGATGGTGTGAAAAAGACCCGACAAGTTTTTTAATTTGACTAGTAAGCAAGGAAACCAAATTTCATGTACACTTTGTTTTGTGGTCATGGACAATGAACTTTATCTTATCCAGTGGCGGTCCAGAAGTTTGAAATAGATGGGCCCAGAGAGGGAATTTCTGGGATGGAGGGATGTAGGCCGGCTCAGCCCCACGCACACCCATGGTTGTGCTGGGGTAAGAACATTTATGATTATGGCACTCTAGACTCAAAACTTTAGTAGAATTTTATTTTTTTCCTCAAACTTTTTTAAACCTAGAGGGTGGGATCCCTTGAATCTGCCATTGTTATCTATCTTGTATTTGTTGTTTGGTATTGATATAATTTTGCGCATGTGCAGTCATAAGAGATACGCTCTGTCGGTCACGGTCACGGGGTAGCAGAAGTCTATTCTCAAGTGCCTTGTTTTGTAGGGTCAGGTGAGCATAGGTCTGTAGATCACGGTTTAGTTTGTTTACTGGTACCTTCTTGACTATATTCTACACATAACCAAGACTTGGTCAACATGAAAAATTGTTTCATTTTAGTGGCCTTTGCAGCTTTGCAAGTGAGCGGCATCATCGAAGCTCATGTGTGCATTATCTACCCACGGCAACGAGGGGACTTCAACATATCCACGGTAAGTAAGCTGAGTAAATGTGGACTTCCGCCAGGGTTGATAAAATGGGAAAAGGGAGGCGCGGAGAAGGCATGAAGCGGGGAAGTGGTTGCGCCAGGGTTGATAAAATTAGGAAATGTAAGAGCATGGAAGGGGACGGGACACAGGGGTGGAGTGGAGGCAGGGGAAAAAGGGGAAAGGGGAAGAGGAAGGGACGGGAGTGACGAAAGGGAGTTAAACATGTTTTAAAAGTAGCAAGGCCTAGGCCTAATAAAATATAAATTGGGGAGTTTTCAGGGGTGAGTTTCTAGGGGTTGGACCATGGATCCCCAATATATAAGTATAGGCCAGGAAAACCCCCAACCAACATAATTCCTTTTGGACCATATACAATCTTCCCTGGACTACTTGCTACTTGCACCATCAAAATAATCCAGGACCTGCTGCTACATCTGATCGGTGGTAGTGGAATGCCCTTCTCAATGACAGGGAGACCAAGGTTCCAGACCGATCCAATGACAAGATTTCCAAGAACCCATTCCAAACATGCTTTTCACTAACCAAATGATTGGGTTTCAGGGTCCCTAGACCAGGATGGATCCTGGATTCCTACATGTGCTGCCACAGTGGTAGCGCCAGCGGGGTGGGAGGGG